GGTAGCCTATAACATACTCTGGTGAATTCTGAGATTTCATACCTCCATGAAATATATGAGTTTTTGTAAATGTTTTTTGTCTCATTGACTATGGAAATAAGGTCATAATTAGCACAATCTAGTTCAATTTATGGTTTTCTAAATTCAAATTACAATATTCCTCTCCTTTGTCATAATTTATTTCATCACGTCCTCATTAATTATGCAAATCACCTCTACATTAACATAATATAGGTATAGTGATGTTAACATTTAAGTAACTTACACATGTCACAAGGTATAAAATTTCCATCATTCACCAATATAAAGTCACAGAATTTTCCTATTAATTATGCAAATTAGGTCATCATTTGCATAATTGGTATCTTTTGATGTTCCATCTGCCATAAATTACATGCATTACACGTATGAAAGTACTATTATATTTAACACTGTAATTATAGAATGTTCTCATTAATTATGCAAATTAAGCCCTCATTTGCATAAATTGCATTTAATTATGTACAACTCTCTCTCAGCTACCTTCACACCAAAATTGATGAAAATATGTTGTTCCTATCTGGACTTATTGGCTTTTGAAGATTTCGCCCGAAGGTCCCCTGCAATTCCTGAACAAGCTGCTAGGGGGACCAAACTTACACCGCCTATTCCTGACAGGATAAGCTATCTGTCACAAAAAAAATCAAGACCATAGCATGTTCAGGACAAAAGATTTAAAAACCGGAAGTTCTGCTGCAGTACCAAGGTCGGCCACCAGGAGGCCCATATTTGACCTTGACCTTTGTCTTCCTAAGACCTACCAAGGTACCTAATATCATCACAATCCATAAAGGCGTTCTAAAGTTTTTTTTTGCGGAAACACAGACACAAAGACGCGCCAAAAACAATACCTTCATTTTTCATGGAGGTAACAAACAGTTGATGAAACACTCCCAAGCATCACCACGGCAGTGAAAAGACATCGGGTAAGCCTCGCGGGTCATGTGACTCGTGGTACAGAACCAGCGGGTCGAGTACAACTTTGGACTCCAGAGGCTAAAAGGAGAATTGGTTGTCCAATTACAACACTTAACTAAAGGGTCTTATCCAGCCTGACACTGGTCTACAAGGAGTGGAACTTTTGTCTGCTATGAAAGACAGAAAGTACTGGCGACAATACTTCTCATGCTGCACCTCAGAAGAGGACGAGTAAAGAAGAAGAAGAAGTAATCTCTATCTTATCCGTTTTTTCAGGGATGCGAATGCAGCTTGGCCAACTTGACCTACCCATGATAAGTCAGTGACGAAGTGAATCATTTTCAAATACAACATATGCTATCATAGCAATAGATGGTAATTTGTAGTGATATCACGAAATGTTTAATAGAGAACATCAATGTCCTAAAATACACAAACCTGGAAATCCGTTGCGGCCGATAGTTGATTACACAGGTTCGATAGGGTACAATACGTCCAGGGCCTTGGCAGATCTGTTAGCACCTTTGGTGGGGAAGTCAACACACCATATTAAGAACTCAAAACACTTAGCAGAAGAAATGTCCACTATATTAGTAGAGGAAGATGAGATGTTCTTGTCCCATGACGTTGTCTCCCTTTTTACTAATACCACCATCCCAGAGACACTTGACATCATCAGAAGAAGACTCCAGGGGGATAAAGAGCTGAAGAACCGGACGAACCTAGAAATTGAGGACATCCTAGAACTCTTATCTTTTATTGTCACAACCACTTATTTCAGCTTCCGGGGGGATATCTTCCAGCAGAGGTTTGGGACAGCTATGGGTAGCCCAGTGTCTCCAGTGTTGGCCAACCTGTTTATGGAATGGCTGGAACAGGAAGCCATTGCCACAGCGCCCATCCCCTGCAGACCCAAGCTTTGGAAGAGATACGTGGACGATGTGATGGAGATAGTGAAGAAGGGTGTCCATCAAGATCTCACAGACCATCTTAACAGCATAGATCCCACAGGAAGTATTCAGTTCACACATGAGATGGAGAAAGACAACACATTTGCGTTCCTGGATACTCTCCTGGTACGAAAGGGGGATGGAACAGTCAAACTTCTAGTGTACAGGAAAAGCACACATACAGACCAGTATCTCAACTTTCAGTCCCACCATCCGCTGCACCAGAAGCTTGGAGTCATCCGCACCCTTATGGACAGATGTAACTCTGTGGTGACGGAGGAGGAGGACAAGGAAAGAGAAACACAGCACATCAGAAGAGCCCTCATCCGATGTGGTTACCCACAATGGACCTTTCGGAAAGTTGAACAGAAAGAGAAAAGGCCAAAGCAGACAGAGAAGAACAAGAAGGAAGGGGAGAAAACCAGGACCATGGTGGTCATCCCATATGTGAAAGGTGTCACCGAACCATTAGAAAGGATCTTTAGAAAACACCGGATAACCACAGCAGTTAAACCTAAAACAACATTGAGGAACTTGCTTGTCCACCCTAAGGACAAGTTGGGGGACCATGTGAAAACGGATTGTGTTTACAAAATTCCTTGCAAAAGTTGTGCTGAAGTGTACATTGGAGAGACTGGAAGGACCTTTGGCAAAAGACTAGAAGAACACAGAAAAGAGGCAGACAACAGCGAAGCCATAAGATATACACGGTCCCAGAAACAGCAAGCACAAAAAGAAGAGAAGAAATCGGCAGTTACAGACCATGTTGCCAGGAACAATTGTGTGATAGACTGGGAGGGTGCCAGGGTCATAGATAGAGAGGACAATAGAAGAATCCGTTGGATTAAAGAAGCAGTCTGGATAAGGAAGTCAACCCCAGTGATGAACCGGGACGAGGGGGGATACAAGCTCAGCCACGTTTGGGATTGCATTCTCGCCGCAAAAGCGCCACCTACATTGGCGTTAAATAGCGGCGAGTTGCAGAACTCCAGTCAGAAGCTCTGAGGAAGGTGTCTGATAGACATCGAAACGTAAGCAGGTGAGAACCTTACTGGTTGTGTAAGAAGAAAATTCTATACCCTAAGTATCTTCCAACCTGATGAAATTATTTACGGGGGAACATCAATGTCACCTTAGTTTCTAACTGGTTTTCGTCTGTTAAGACTCTTTTCGTATAGCCAACAATTTTAGAAGGAAAAGATGCATTAAAATGACTTGATTGTGTTGTATAATCATTTATTACATAGATCTTTTTTTAAATACTGGCTTTAGTAGGATTTTTTGTTTTACGTAATGGTGATGTGGTACCATTTTGTCTGGAGACAGACGTTACCAATATAAATGTATTAGTGAAATGAAGAAATTAAATCTGATCTAACTAACATCGGGGTTCAACGATCGATCTCATACCTTTGCCAAATGATGTCAACTTTTATGGCACACAAATTATCAATGCTTGATCTCATTGAGCATGGAAACGACATTCCGATTTGCCGAATTATATCAGTTGACTACATTTTCAATGACAGTCATATCTTAACTTATCTAGCAGACTTTCCAGCATTTCCTCATAAATTATGCAAATGCCACAAGTATGAAATTCTCTTGCCACTATGGAATTATAGCACTCCATTATTAAATATGCAAAACAAACTCTTCATTTGTATAATAAATACATATCGGTGTATCTTTCATTCGTAATTACATATGTCACAAGATTGAATATTACTATCATGGAAGGAAGTAGGTTTGTAAAAATTTCATCATTAATTAAACAAATTAATTGTTGGAATTGATTAAATATGTTTTGGATAGCATCACAAAAATTATTTATGATGATGAAGGTCTACTAAAACGTATGTTGCTCAAACCAACACCAGTGACGTCATAAAATGACGCCATGCATATTTAAACTATCCGCCATCTTGGATAGTCAATTTTTACATAATGGGTACTAGTACACAAGGATTTGATTTTCAACGACCACTGTCGCCTTCATTAGGATAGGTAATGACCAGTCATTTCCTCAGTTTTTAAGAGGTATAAATGAGGCCATATATATCAAGAAACTCACTAAACAGAGACGGTTGATGATATAAGCAGGGACGGTGGATGATATATTAAACTGATTGAGCATTTGCTGGCGTCACGTATCCGTAAAGTCTTGTGTGAATAAGGTCACATGTCGATCTAAAACTCTGATTAACTATCCTGATGCAGGCTACGGTTGTAATTGAAAATTTGATCCTTATGTGCCCTTTGTGTTGGAGTAAAGGTACCAATCGTACAATGATACTCAAATTCATATGTGTTACATAAGGCAAAATCGGGTTAAAAAAGTGTCTGAGAGGAAAAAGTAATAAATTAAAAGATGGAAAACAAAAATGAAAAGAGATGTTTGAAAACAAACGAAATGAGAAAGATCGATCGTGATCATATACAACAAAAATTCAAACACTTCATACTAGTACCTCCATGAAGTGTGAGGTTTATGTATTTTTTGGGAGGGGGTTGTCTCATTACATCCATGAAAAATGGAGGTATTGTTTTTTGCGGCGTCTGTCTGTGTGTGTGTGTGTGTGATGGGATCCAATCGTTTGTACCAGTTTGGCCCAAGAATGTGAAGGCGAGGTCAGTCGAGAGTGGATTCTAGAGAGGGAGGTCCTGGTGGTGGCTGTCTTAGGATAGGAAGTTGATTAAACACTTAAAGTTCGGACTCTGTGACTCGGCTCATCATCTGACACGTGGCGCAAGAAGTGGGATCGTAATCTACCGAAGTAACCACCAGTAAGTGGAGACCCCGTCCGGAAAACCTGACCTGACACTCGAAGATCCTGACACTGAACCATAATAGAGCTATACAAGGACAGACCCGGAAGGACAATCGGAACTTGTGCTGTGTGTTACCACGGGAAGAGTCAACCGTGAGTTGGACGGACTGTTTATATGGATTTTTGAAGTGGGTGTCATTCCAGAGAAGTTAAATTGTGTAAACAAGGGGCCCCGGGAGTGTATGCAGTCTTAAATGAAACCACATGTGCCCAACGTTATCTGTGTGCATCCATTGTATGGGACTTCTCAGTCACATTCCAGACAGACCCCGGCAGGCCAGACGGGCCGATTCAAGTCAGTAAACTGGAGCACGGTAGTACCAAAACAAGTCAGTAGCCGTTGCTGAAAGGAAAAGAAATGGAGGGATATATCGAAGCAGGGGAAAAGATGGGGCTAGAAGGAGAAGTACTGCATAAGTTTGTTCAGCAGGCCCTGGAGAGGGACGAGAGAGTTAAGGAGAGGGAAGCACAGAGAGTAGAGGCAGCGAAAAGAGAGAAAGAGCTGGAGCTCGAGAGCCAGAAGCTAGAAGCCGAAGCCAAAAGACAGGAGACTGAACTCGAGAAGATGAGGGTTCAGGCCGCAGAGAGAGACAAGGAGAGACAAGAGAAAGAGAGAGAACGACAGATGGAGATGGAGAAGATGAAGTGGGAAGCAGAGGAAAGAGAGAAAGGGAAAGAAAGGGAACGACAGATGGAGATGGAGAAGATGAAGTGGGAAGCAGAGGAAAGAGAGAAAGAGAAAGAAAGGGAACGACAGATGGAGATGGAGAAGATGAAGTGGGAAGCAGAAGAAAGAGAGAAAGAAAGGCAGGAGAAGGAGGCGGAACGGCGACACCAGCTGGAGATGAGGCGGTACGGGCCAGAGAGAGGCGCATTAGAGGAAATGGAAAGTGCTCGGGCGAAAGCTCCCAAGCTCCCGGCGTTTGTCGACGGGAAGGACGAAGTAGATGCCTTCCTTCAGAGGTTTGAAAGATTTGCCAGCTCCAATGGCTGGAGGGAGGAGGTCTGGGCCTCCAACTTAAGCGCGCTGTTAACTGGGAAGGCGCTGGAAGTATATTCTAGGCTCAGTAACGAAGACGCCCAGGACTACGACAAAGTGAAGGTGGCATTGTTGAAACGTTACAATCTAACTGAGGATGGCTTCCGCAACAAGTTCCGACAGAACAAGCCGGACAAAGGGGAAAGTCCAGAGCAGTTCCTGGTACGCCTGACCAG